TTTGACACGGAACCACCAATATTTAAAAAACACACATTAATTATATCATTATTCTCCTATGATAAATTGATACATATTTTTCCCCATGAATTTAAATGAGAATAATCAATGCAGAGTGTGCTAACATTTCAAAATCATGGGTTAAAATGCGCTGACTAGGCGAATATTAATATTAAAGCCGAACAGAGCGGAGCGGCGTGCTGCCAGCGCGAGAGGCTCACTGGCGCCTACAAACCTAAGTGGATACTTCACGCATTGCACAATGCTTGAAGTATCCACTTAGGTTTGTAGGCGCCAATGGGCGTTTCGCGCTGGCCGCCCGCCCGCATTGCGGCGGCGCCTGAAGCAACTATTTCACAACAGAGGTGTTGCACAGTATTATACGAAATTGAACGGGTTAAGAATGACAGGCAACCTTTAAAAGTACAGATCTTTCCTCGCAAAATAAATCAAGATACTTATCGTACACAGGAAAAATCTAAGAGCCTATAGCTGAAGCAAATATAAAGGTTTATCCAGTTCAGGTATAACAAGGTGGGAATTTCTTGAAAGATAATTAAGTCCTGTTACACTAAAGGGGTGTAGAGAGTTTTAGTGAATTTTGTCTCATGGAATTGACGCAAGGTCATTTTTCTGGGCACCTGAAATCAGCATCATTTCAGGATTCTCTAGCTCTTTCGAGCACTGCTGTTGTAAGTCTGTAAGAGAAACAACATCAAAATTCACCGTAGCTGTCCCCAAATCTCTAGTTTCGTGGTAAAATTTCAAATCTGACGAATATTAATGGGACCGCGCTAAGCAGAAAGGAGCCAAGTTACGTCAGCTATATCCAAATTTAATTTGGCAGTTAATTTTTTGACATGGAAACAGTTGTTCGGATTTTGGGGGAAATTTCAGTGAATTTTCTGAGTAGTACGAAGCAAATTCCTGAAACTTTTCAAAGGAATCCGTTGAAACGTTCTCTTGTTAAAAAAAAACAAATCGCCCAATTAAATTTGGCAATAGCTGATGTGGCTTGGTTCCTTTCTGCCAATGCGGTTCAATTAGACTTCATTTCGCAATGGGGCACTAGGTGTTATCTCAAACTCATCCATAAAAGTACTTATTTGAATACGGAAGGTATTACTGAGCAATAGGCTAAACTTTAAAGAGCTATCGTTAACTTTTAGAACTTGAGAAAACTAATAAACTAGTTTCATCTGTTCAATCTGTTTACATGAAAGTGGAGCATGTGCCCCCCCCCCCCCCCTCAACACTACTCAGCAAAAAATATAACAGTTATAGTTGTATCTCTGCGCCGTCGTTAACGCTCATCTTTTACCTCGCCTCGTTTCCATTTTGTGTTTGTTTACGTTTGTCTTATTCGTAATGGTGCTTCAAACTAGTAGCATAGAGCAGAGCATTGCGAGTTCACGACTCACGCCATATCGCTTCTTACATTTTTCATATGCAATGTGGACATCCATCTTGCGCGAATAGTTGTATCGCGTTTACACTTTAGATGTCTCTTATTTTGAATTTCGAGATAAAGTAAGGTTGAGTTCGCCCGAGATACGTTATGGTATGTTCAAATCAATAGTCATTTTGAAAAGGAAGAAATATGTTTAAAGGTCTCTCAAGAGGTTTTTAAGGGGTGCGTATGTCTAAAAATCGAACCGACAATCGCTTCTAAGGGAGTTACACATAGCGAATGAAGGAGAGGTATGATAAAGCGTCTGTATGTCGACAAAAAGGTGAAAATTTCACAGAAAAGTGTTTACGCTTGAAAAAGTAGTTCTCGGACCTCTGTTCACCACTATCAAGCGTTAAAGCACCTGCCTTTACTCCTAGCTCTCTCTCTTCTTCCGTTCAAGACATTTTCCGCATATATTCTCGGTCGTAATATTTTTTCTCCTCTTATTTTGCTATGTGTCAGAGAGGCGCATTTTTGGCGCGCCGAGGGGGCGTATCTGCCAATGACAGATTGGCCTTATGGCCAGTTCGAGCCTGCTTGGCGATTGCGGTGTCAGCGGGACGAGACCAAGCCCTCCTTCATTCTTGTGCATAGTATACGTTCTGAAAACGTTTTCTCAAAGATGGGGCGAAAGACGTGATAAGTACAACTATTTTAAATTCGAAACAGGTAAAATTGTTTATGCACCAAAATGATAGATTGTAAGTTGATTGTCAGGATTGGAATGGATGTATCTTTAATTTTAAGACATTTAACTCTAGTCTTCGCTCTGACCTAGGTTTAGGTACCAGACCCACTTCGGATTTGACCGGGCAATTTCCGGCAAGAACTCGTATTGACAAACTTATGGTTTTTGACATTGGTTCTCTTTTAGCTAGACGGCCGCAGCATCCGTGTGAAGAAGAAAATAAACATCAATTTCAGCGATAGGTACGCTCATGGGATGGCTCAAACACTCATATGAGGAGGAAGCTACTGTCATCATCAGGCCCGCCACAAGGGGGGGGGGATACTGGGTCCTTGGTACCGGGGCCCGGGCCCTGGAGGGGCCCGTGACGCAGGTGACAAACCACTACGAATTCATGTGTAACCCTTGTCTCGTAGGGAAAAGTGAAAAAATTACCCTAAAAATTCCGCAAAAGGTGAATAAAGTTTCAGAAACGGGCTAGGGCACTATAAAATTTTTCTTACTTTTTTAGAGATTTTCAAGATTTTGAGTATATGTAGAATGATATTTTTAGTAACGGTGTTTCATTTTCTTCCGTTGTCGGATGCTAAGAGGCTCCTTTCTGGGCATCCTCGACTTCAATGGCTTAACTCCCCTGTCATAGACGTACGAAAGGGGAGTCCAGGGGGGCCCGGCTCCCCATAGAATTGAAAATTATCATCTGTCCCCTCAAAAAAAAATTTATAGATGTTTTGAATGCAACAATTCGAAAGTTTTTGGTGCTGAAAGTAAACAAAAAGGCGTAATTATTCTGCAGAAATTGATGGAAAATCTCCATCATAAGAGCTTCATAATGCGTCCAAATAGATTTAAAATTTCAAAAATTTCCCGGCGGAGGCCCCCCGGACCCCCCCCCCCTCCCCCCTGTGCTAGGGGCCCGGGCCAGAAAATTGGTACCAGGGCCCGAGATGGGATGTGGCGGGCCTGGTCATCATGCGAAGGAAAAGCGTCGTATGAACATATGGACGTTGCTGGATTTTTGCGACTGGATAAAAGTCAACTTTTCTCGATTAGATTAATGAACAGTTTTCTCTGAAATTTTCATAGAATTTCGTTAACAATTGAAACGAACTCTTCTTGAAATTTAAAAAAAAAAATCGGAGCAATCCTAAAAATGAAAATTTTGTCAGGCGAAATTCGGCAATGCTCGAATTCTCTCACGGCATTACTCCATAGCCCATCAGTATGAGCCTTCATCTCGAGTTGCGTGTCCTTTGAAGGCGCCAGAAATGGAACGCGTTCCACACACATGTATCCAGTCCTCACTTGCCTTAAGTTCAGCTGAAAAGAATCGGCTCAAGTTTTCAAGAAAAAATTACCCAAGAGCCGTAAGAATTTGCATTAAAACTGTCTTAGGTCTAAAGATTGACAGCGAGTAATAACTCCAACTTTAACCTTACGTTTCAAAGCGACAGTACAGAGGGTAAAAATGTCACTCAATTCACAGGATGGTCTCACGTACCTAATGTGTATTTTTTCAGGAGATTTAAAACGAGGACACCTTTCGAAGCTTATTTCATATTTGGACCACGTTTAGCAGAAAGGAACGAAGCCACATCAACCATTGACAAAAATTGGGCATTTTAATTTTTTACAAGAGAGCGTTTATGCGGAATCCTTCGAAGATTTTAAGGAATTTGCTTCGTACTATGCAGAATATTCACTGAAATTTGAACAAAAATCCGCCTATCCGTTTTTATGTAAAAAATTAAATTGCCCGATTAACTTTGGCAATAGCTCATGTGGCTTGGTTACTTTCTGCTTAATAACGCGGTCCATTCAAGGTGCTTTCATGCGTAAAAGTGTCATCCGCTGAGTTGGTATTTGTTTACTTTCCGCTTAAAAACGATCGCGATGCCATCATCCAATAGAGATCGAGGATTCACCCCAGCTCGATCGCGAGTTTAGTCAATCTTGGATCGCTATTGGACAACTGCATCGCGGTCGCTTGCAAATGGAATGTAAACAAGTGCCAACTTTTAGCTGACGACACCTCTAGAAAGTTTCACTGGTAGAGGCTAAACCAGGGCCCCTCACAATTCTGCCGTGCTAAGGAAACACGCCGTATGAACCTCCAGGCGTTGTCAAATTTCTTTCGATAAAATACGAATTTACTGGGAAAAGTTGTCAATCTTCTTCTTCCAATTTTTCAGACAATTCTGTTCGTATTTTAATCGAAGCCATCTGCACATTTCAAGGAAAAATATGCATAATTTTCCTACAAAATACATATTGTATCGGGGGAAATTTGGCATCTCCTCAATGTTCATGCGGTGTTCTTCCTTGGCATGGCAGAATTAATGCGGAGACTTCTCTCCGAACTTATTTTGCCAGACTGTAGATTGGAGTGGACGCACGATGCGCCTCAGCGTAATACTCCGTTTGCAAACAGACCAGTATTGTGTGCGGTATTCCTACGCTTTGAAGGCGCACTCAGAAACCAACATCAAGAGCCTCGCGCTCTTTCAAGTGAGAGGTTATGCATTCCAGCGACAGGTAGCGCCTTCTCTCGTTCGTTGAATAGCAGGCGGAGGTATGTTGAACCGGTTATTAGCCGCAGCGGTGTCCGCTCTCCCTATGGAAATAAAAGAAGGGGACGGCGACCAGCTCTTTTTACCTCGTACCTGCCTACGTCACGGACGACCGCTCCCCTCACTTCCATCGTTCGGCATTAAGATTCTTCTCTCCCTTCAGGTGTAGCCACTGACGTCATCACGATGGCCGTCGAGGTGGATCTGCTCCCGCCTTCGATTCTTCCTGCACGAGCTCCCGCGGTGATTTCTGTGACGGTCGAGTGCTCACCTGATCAACGATCTCGCCTCCGACAGTGTTGAGTCGAAGTTCGTCGGCCGCGGAGTGTTTAGTTTCCAATTTCGTTCGTTGATGCCCGTCATACATCAACAAGGTCGTGTATTCGAGTGATTTTGGTGTATAATTCTGTGTTTTCATTGTGCCGTGGATTGGATTGTTAGGTCTTGAGACTCTCGCACAGTTACTACGGTAAGATGATCTTATTATGATCGGGGGTTGCTACCGGGCTTGGTTTTTCTTCCTTTTTTCACATAGTAAAACGATCTTAACTCCTGATCAATACTGTCGTGCTAAGGAAAAACACCGTATGAACTTTCAGGCGTTGCCAAATTTCCTCTGATATAATACGAATTTATTGGGGAAATTGTAAATATTTATCTTCCAATTTTTCAGACTATTTTGTTCGCAATTTTATCTAAAATATCTGGAAATTCTAAGGAAAAACATTCATAAATTTCGTCAAAAATACTTGTTCTATCCGAGAAAATTTGGTAACTCCCGAATGTTCGTGCGGCGTTCTTCCTTAGCACGGCAGAATAGCTGTGAATGATAAGGCTCTTCTTTCCGTTTACTGATTTAAGGTGTTAAGCAACCAGATTATAAAACTGTCGGAATGTTTTGCATGAAGAAGTCTAGTATTTTCCGGCATCTAGAGGGTTTGGAATTGAGAATCGTGTAAAATTTTTGGTAAACAAGGGTGCAGAAAGTGCTCGTTTGGCCGGTCGGTCAATCGCGGAGCAAATGTGAAGGCACCTGAAAAGGGATACAAAAATATGAAGGCAATTGGGAAAGGGGGAAAACATTTGAAGGCTTTAGGCATAAACCAGCTCAGCGCATAGTTTTTTTGCGCAGGAAGCTGTAAAACGCGCTCTCTTATGCGAAGAAAACGTAGAAGCGCGCAAGTCTTATGTGGATAGCAACGTGAAGGCAAACTCAAAAAATGCGATGGCGAGGAATTTTCTGCAGCCATGGTAAAACAGGAAGGCTATGAGAAATTGTGTAGAAATCCGTGTGCTTTGTAAATCCTTAAGTTTGGACGGAATCACCTTAATATTTGCAAAACGCACATTATATTTTCCTTTACTACATATTTTTTCTTCATCAATTGAAATGAGATTAATCTATACAGAGTGTGCAAACATTTCAAAGTCATGAGTTGAAAAACGCTGACTTCACGAGATTAACTATTAGAGCCTAACAGAAAGCGGAGCGGCGGTGCACTGGCGCCTACAAACCTAACAGGGATACTTCACGCATTACGCAATGCGTGAAGTATCCCCGTTAGGTTTGTAGGCGCCAATGCGCGTTTCGCGCTGGCTGCCCGCCCGCCGCGCCGCGCCGCAGCGTACCAAGGCGCTTGAAGCAACTATTTCACACCAGAGGTATTGCACAGTATCATACGAAATTGAAGGCGCTCCAACATATTAGGAATGGCAGGCACCCTTCAAAAGTACGGAGCTTTCCACGCAAAATAAATCAAGATACTACGGCCCAAAAAGAGAGCAGTGGTCCGAAAACCCACCAGGTCCTAGCATCCGTAATTAGTAACGTTTAGCATACACTTTATCGCCGGGCTGTTGCTTGGTCGCCATCGGCTATGAAAGGCTATAAGAAATTGTGTTGCCGGCTATAGAGACTATTGGAAATCTTACAGCCGGCTGTAGGTCTAAGGTATTTTGGAACACAGATTCTACTGCCAATTTTTACCAGGGTAAGGAAACCCGTCGTATGAACCATCAGGCGTTGCCAAATTTTGTTTGATAAACGCGAGTTTCCCTGTACATTAATGAGTATTTTCCTCCCAATTTTTCAGCTAATTTAGTTTGCAATTTTACCTAAAGTTTCTGAAAATTTAAAGGAAAAGCATTCATAACTTTTCTAAAAACTAAACATTTTATCGAAGGAAATTTGGCAACTCTCGTATGTTCTTATGGCGTTCTTCCTTAGCACAACAGTATTCCAGTTTGCGACGTTGCAGACTTCCTGTTGTTCTTCATGTTTTAATCGGGAAACTACTCTTACGTCAATTCTTGAAAACTTCTGCGATTTTTCTTCTCTTCAGGAGCAAATTCTGAATAAACTTCAAGGAAAGATGTTGATACTCGTATTTGAGGACTTATCTGTAACAATAGCGGATGTGAAAAATTACCTTTTCGACACACATCCAAAAAACTGTTTTGGCATCGAGAAATTTTGAGAAAATATACTTGAGATGTGATCCTCGAGATCTGTACATTATGCCAGAGCGAAACATATTAAATTTTTGTGTGAACAAAACAGTTTTTTTAACGTGTTTCGAAAAGGTAATTTTTCACATCCGCTAATGTTAGAGATAAGTCCTCATTTGTTCTGTCGTAAAAAAAAAAACGTAATAAGCGTGGATATTTTGAAATGCCGCAAACAAGGTACACAGTTTGGGCATTTCACCTTCGATATCTAAAATTTCACATTTTCTCCAAGAGCACTGTTACGAACTACTTTTTTTAAAAGAAACCCTCTGATTCTCAATATAAATTATTAATTAAATTAATAAATAGGAGAATGGAATTTTTTTATAAAAAAAACTATTACTAATTGTCTTGCTTTCTCGCTCGATTTCCGGCATGAAACAGGCTCGCGATGAGGGATAAATGGGGAGGGGGGAGAGAGAAAGGCCCTAAGAAAGACGACTTGGATCGGCCGTGGCACGTGACGTCAACGCCTTTTGCGCGCGCGTAAGTACGTGCCGCACGGGCAACGCGCTGCCGTGCTAAGGAAAAACGCCATATGAGCCGTCAAGCATTGCCCAATTTCCTCCGATGAAATACGAATTTTCAAGGTAACTGCTGGATGTTTTTCTTCAAATTTTTCAGACAATTTTGTACACGCTTTAATCTAAAATATCTGAAAATTTCAAGGGAAAATATGCATAACAAAACTCAAAAATACATGTTTTATTCGCGGCAATTTGGCAACTCTCGAATGTTCATACGGCGTTTTTCCTTAGCATGGCAGCGCGGCACCAAAGGCCAAATCGATGGCCAAAATGCAAAACCGCGTATCTCCGTTTGCGCTGTTGCAGACTTTCCTTCTTATTGCATTTTTCCGTTGGAAAACTAGTCATCTTAATTTCTTAAAAACTTCCTGTATTTTTCTGCTCTGCATGCAAGATATTCCGTGTGAATTTCAAGCTACTATGTTGTCTTGTTTCTCTTCAAAGAAATAAAATAGGAGCGGAAATTTTGAAACACAAAAATCGAATTACGTGCTTTCGTACTTTGGCCAGCGAATTTCTTATGTCCAGCGGTCTGCTTCCCGCTCCGCTCAATTACCTAGTTCCTTAATTCTCAGCCATGCGCTTTTGAAAAATTATTATTAAATTACTTTTTCCATAAATAACATTTTTCCTTGAAATGTTCAATAACTCACGGAGAAATTGTGAACAAAATTATCCGGAAAAACGAGAAGAATGATCTTCATAAGCTCACTAGGAAATTCGTGTTTTATCAAAGGAAATTTGGCGACGCGCTGAAAAAAAAAATCTCGGTGTATTAACTAAGAAAAGGGTATAATCACCAAGACTTCAGGGTTCTATTTGATCCCAGTTTTTTCTTGGTAAAATTACCATTTATGGAATTGGTAGTTTTACCGAGAAATCTCGGTAAAATTATTGACTTCCTCGGTAATTTTACTGGACCCCGGTAAAGACGCCAATATTTTTTATCGACTGTGGTAGAATTACCGAGATAAAATGGCAAAGTTACCGAGAATTGCTAACCAATAAATAATAAAAGTGGTATTCCTACCTGAAAAAAAAAACAGTAAAAATACCGGGTTTTAGATAAGCTTACCAGTCTGTCTTGGTAAAATGACCAATAATTGGTAAAAAAAGTGAGATGGTAAAGGTACCATCGGACCGTGGTAAAAACGCCGAGAATTTTTTTTCAGTGCGCCTGAAGGTTCATACGGCGTTTTTCTTTTGCACGGCGCACGGTGGTCAATAGGAGAGGTCGGACAAAATTTGGAAACTTTAAACGCTTATAACTCTATTTATACAACAATTTGAGGTTCTTAAAGTGGTTTTATTGGTTTCCTCGTAAAATTTCCTACCTGAAACACCTCTTGACATCTAAAATGTGACGAAATAAATACAAAAATTTTGAGTTTTCGTTGAAAATGCCATGTCGCGACCTCTCTAATTGACTCGATCTACTGTGCGGCGGTATGTTAGCAGCGCTTGTACTATAATCTTGGTTGAAAGTGCGGGAAGTTTGCGGAGAAGAATGGGCAATCGCGGCTGTGAAGAAGAGTAGTAAGATCTAATGTGTGAGCGTGCGCGTGATGCATACGGCGCTGGATTCAGTGAGAATCTGTTTTCTCCTTTTGCCTTCCTTCTTGCCCGTGCGCCACTTTTTACCCGACCGGGGCCGATCCGCCGCGCGGGTCCGCTGTCCGTCTCTTCGCCCGACTCCCGTTCCACTCTTTGGCAACGTTTCCCCCAGATTCCTTCACTTTCGATCCTCACTAAAAACCACCAACAACAATCACAGGCCCAATGAAACCGTCGCTCCAATACTCCCATCCTACGGAAAAACGCCGTAAGAACCTTCAGGCCTTGCCAAATTTCTTCTGGTGAATCACGAATTTTTGGAAAAATTTTTAAACATTTTTCTTCCAATTTTTCAGATCATTTGGTTCGGTTGGATTTTTGATCATTCGGGCCGGGTGCTCCCACAAGAATCGATTATTTAGCATAGGTTTAAATGGAAGAAATCCGGTGTTGTCAAATTGTTGGATCCGCCTCTGCCCCCGCCTTTCCCTCGGGGGGGGGGGGGGGGAGGGTATAGAATACCCCTGAAGGATTGATTCGGGGGGCCCTCGAGCGTAAGTAAAGAATGAAAAAAAGTGAACATGTACCAAAATGCTCGACCTTTCAAGTAAACCTTCCCGGAAACTTTAACGCCTGGATAAGAAAGTGTGAGCCTCTCCAATTATTTCCCAAGCAGGACTGGACTGGTGGAAGAAGGCCCGGCTGAACTTCTAAGGGACTCGGGCCCTACACCGGGGAGGCAGGGGGGAGCATATCCCCATGACTCATTTTTAAAAAGCTTCAACCGTTTGACGTAAACTTTGCCAAAAAATACAATAAATAACAGAGCATCTACAAACCTGCAAACTTCGGAGTAATCAGGGGATTTTTTTTATTTTTT